TTACTATTTACTTACTATTTTGTATTTAAATTTGAAACTTATATTTTTGTTGGAAACTTTGAAAAAATGTATAAAATTCATATAAATCTGTTTTAAATGTTTAGTAAGTATTATTTTTAATTGATTAAAAATTAAAATAATATTAAAATAAGAAAACGTCTTTTTACGCTTTTTTACTCATATGTTTCGCCTAAACTCGCTTAACCCTGAGCTTGGCCTCCACGCATCGCCACGCATTACGTTTTTTAAAACACTGGTTTGAATAAGTGAGAAACAGTCTGTTATAATTAATTATATAAATTATAGTAAATAATGCAGTATGGTCTTTGATAATTTAGAATATAAAAAATATATAACTAACGTCAAAAAAAAGTCACGCGACATATTTATATTATTAAATAAAAGCCTTAATCACCATGAAAAAAAAAGTTTCAAGGATGAAATTGTATATAGTAATAACTCCATACCAATAATGTCAACAAACGATAGTAATTTTAGAGCGCTAATTATAAACAATGCCAAACATGTACGTAATTTGAAGTGCTAAATTGTGTATCACTTTTCAAAGTCCAAACATGTGTGAATTATAAGTGAGTAAAAATAAGTAAAAAAAATTTGATCAACTTATAAGCAATTATAATGAAGATGGAACATGCACAAAATTATTTACTCAAAAGGAAAAATAAGATACCAAAACCACTCACCACTATTTTCTCCAAATCTCCACCATTTATCTCCGTTGCCACCACCTTTTTCTTTTTGGCCTTTTACTGAAAACTTGCTGAAATTCTGCAAATCAGCTTCTGTCTACTCCTTGCCGTGTTCTCTAAATGAACCGTCTTCTCTTTCTTCTCCTTTTCGCTCTCTCTATCTTCTCAGGTACAGAATCTCTCAGAACCCAATTAAGTATTTGTTGTAAATGGTTGAATTGTGTTTTCAATTTATAATTTATTGTTGATTTTTGAAATCAGAGGTGCAATCGACGACATTTAAGATGGTGAATAAGTGCCGCCACACAGTATGGCCCGGAATACTGACTGGCGCCGACAGGCCAGTGCTCAACCCTACTGGTTTCGTTCTCAAGAGCGGTAAATCAAGGACTCTCGAAGTACCCAGGTCCTGGTCGGGTCGGGTTTGGGGAAGGACTCACTGTTCTGGCGACCCCACCACCGGGAAATTCACTTGCGCGACAGCTGACTGTGGATCCGGCAAGGTGGAGTGTGCCGGCGCCGGAGCCATACCTCCCGCCACGCTTGCGGAATTCACTCTCAACGGCGACCAAGGTCTAGATTTTTATGATGTTAGCCTCGTCGACGGGTACAACCTGCCTATGCTGATTGTGGCCAAGGGAGGTACAAGAGGGGGCTGTAGTGCTACAGGGTGCTTGATAGATCTGAACGGCGCCTGCCCGAGGGAGCTCAGTGTGTTCCGTGCGAATGAGAGACGGACCCACGGCGTCGCGTGCAAGAGCGCGTGCGAGGCGTTTGGCGATCCGGCCTACTGCTGCAGCGAGGCATACAATACGCCGGATACTTGTCAACCCTCAGCCTACTCGCTGTACTTCAAGCACGCATGCCCCCGCTCATATAGCTACGCCTATGATGATAAGACCAGCACGTTCACCTGTGCCTCCGCAGACTACATTATCATCTTCTGCCCACTGCCTTACACCAGGTAAATTTGCTGTCGAACCCTTGTCATACTTGATACTTGTATGTGCTCCGAACTGTCTAAGCTACTGCAGGGCTAATCTTGTGCATTGTAACCTTGATTGTGCTGGTGGTTCTAACTCTTGGACACGACTGTTCACCGTGCTAGTTATGCGGGGGCAAACTTTGTATGTTTAGTTTTCTGTTAATTTATAGTTGATTATGCCGGTGGATCTAACCCCTGGACGATGATGTTTCACTGTGCTAGTTATGTGGGGGCGATTTATTGTTTGTCTGGAGACTGTTAGTTTTCATGCAAAAGATCTATGTTTATGCGGCAGATGCTAGTCAATTTCCATGCCGAAGATAAGTTTATCAGATTCTTTAGTAACACTGAAAATGTTAAAATTGCATAGGAGTTTATGTCATGTTTGAATTTGCACCACAAATTTTCTTAGAATGAATTCGGTTTGACTTTTCCTTGTTAGTTGGAGATCAACACTAGAGTACAACCATGATGGACTTTTTCCTACCAACACCAGCCACAATATATAGAGATTGTTTCTGTATTGGAGTTTTGGATGTTATTCCCATAGAATCACTATTTTGGCCAGAACCTGGTATCTGTACCAGAGTTTCTTAGAACGAATCTGGTTTGACCTTTTCATTTTAGTCGGAGATCAACATTAGAATGCTACCGTGATAGACATTCTTCTACCAACGCCAGCTACTAAATATAGAGATTGTTTCTGCACCAGAATTTTGATGTTATGCCCATCGGATCACTATTTTAGATCTACAAATCATGTATTAGAACAGTGTTTTACAGTTCCTTGTGTTATTTTATCAGCTAACATAGTTAAATAATGATATTGCTGGTGTTTAGCACAATGAATGTAAACTCGTAATTTTTTCTTCTCAAGAGTACTATGAATGTATTATTCAAGGTAAATGATGTTTGGGACTAATATCTTGTAGAACTTTTATATAGTCTGATCAATTTAACTTAACGGATGAGTTATTTTGTTGAAAAGTTTAATGAGTTATTTGGACGAGTTCCTTTTTGTTGGGGACTGGTGTGGGTGTGGAGGACTCCACTATCTAGATGCACAACTGTCTTTAATCAAGTTGGGAACTTATTCTTGGTGTTTTGTGCCTGTAATGTATCCTCCAAAATGCTACTGCCACAAAATAATTTCTTCTAAAATTGTAGAATCCTGACTACAATAGTGTGTGTCATGATGTTGATATCTTAAACATGAGGTATTTCTGATACTGTTTACTAGCAAATGATTGCCGTTTTAACTTAAGCTTAAAACCGACCCTGCTTCAAATAATGTGGCTATAATCTCCTGCATCAAGAACTCTATTAGATAGAGAGTATTAATATATTTTTTGATTTCTCTTTATATATTATATGTTATCATTTGATTTCGGAAACTTGATCTGCGTGAAAATCATACAGCCAGAAATTACTGGAAGCACACAAGGACACTGCAGAGTTGCCACTGGTTAACAAAACGATGATGTATATTGGAAGGCGCCGTACAGGTATGCCATTGCAAGCTTTGGTTTATAATATTTCTATTATGCTATTTTGGCTGTTTTTACGAGTCTCTTTTCTTGCATTGGGTGGGTGATTTCAGGCTGATTACCAATTACTGTTGGTGAAGAGAAAATGCATTCAACAAGCCTCATAGCTGTACTGGCTCGCATTTACTCCCTGGAAACTTGGGTTTAATTTTTGGAACTGCAGCTTGTGGATGACGAATGGCCCAATATTTCTGTATATTAGCTTCCAGCATTTTCTACTTCAGTTCCTTTGGCTCACTAGATATGCTGCCACTCTTTTTTCTTAGTTATAGTTGTAAGTAGACATATTGGTTTTGCAGTGTTGGTTGTGAGAAATGGGAAGCATATGATATTTTGCTGTTGGATTCCCTTAAAAGGAAAAAGAAAAAGGTTAAAATTTCACTGGTATGTGCTGTTGTCATTGGATAAAACTAGAAATTAGTCTTTTTGGTTGCATTATTAAGAGAACCTCATAATCCAATTGTGTTTCCAAAAGAAAAAATATTCATTTTGTCGTTATTTGTCTCATATTTCATTTTATTTACTTTTCTAGTATTGTCTTTATATTAGGCCTCCATGCTTGTACAAAATTTTTAACTTGCTCAATTGGTTGACCCGCAATGGTTTTTCAAGTTAACTCATCTGTTAAACTTCTGTATGAATAGCATCATGTTTTGTATTTCATTCTAATATATTGGTTTTTGTTCTGTGTCTAGAAAGATAATTATATTCTCAGTTTTCTGAAAAGACAGACTAGCTAAGTGGTATTATAACAGATTAAGAACCTGGATGGTTTATCCGACGTATTTAGTTCAGGATCCTATAATGATAAAAAATAGTTGTTTTTAGAGTCTGCAGTGTTTTTTTTGGACTATGGCTGACATGAATGTATCCCATGTCCAAGTGGGGAATAGAGTTGCATGAATTTGTGGGGTTTTTTTAGGACCTAGGATTAAAGTGAGATTGTATTCCCGATTGATGGTCTGTTTCTGCAAGTGCAGGCTGGGTCGAGAAGAAAACCATCTTGCATGGTAATTAAGAAGAAATTGGCAACATTGCATAAGGTGTATGCAATAGGTAGTAAGGAGCAGATTTTTAGCTGATTTAGGAGTGGGTAAGATTGAAACTTGGTATGGTACCTTTTGCACAAATGGATAAGACAGTGGATTGATACCTTCAGATTGTCAAATGTGTCCAGGTTGATCTGTTGTGCCCGCTAAACTTCGAATTCATTTTTAACTTGTTTTATATCACAGTTAGCATTTTATGCATTCTGGACTCTGTATCTCATATAACTTCTACGTGTCATGTGACGCGCCCCGGGAAATTTAAGGAATGATGAAGAGAAAGAGGACTAAAATTACGTTGGAATAGACTCAGCTAGCTATTGACCAATTCTTATATGTAATGATCACAAGAATAACCTCTATCTGCAATCACTTACCCCCTTTTTTTTTCGATGCAAAAGTTGTTTATGGATATAAGTTGTTGCTATTACTACAACTGAATATTCCAATGTTTGGTCTCATCATCTTGACAAAGCGAGAATGATGAATTTGCTGTTCTGTTTCCGTAGTTGACAATCACCCTGTATTCACCTAAAAATCCACCGAAGCTAAACGAACCGTGGTCATCTGTCTGTCCTTCCAAGACACCAGTTTGCCACTCCTTCAAGAGGGAGTCAACAACGTTACCAGCTGGAAGGTTTTGAAAACTGTCGTCTGTTAGGCACATCTGGTAACACCCATAAGGATGTAATGCTGTCCAAAGCATAATTCCTTTGATTGAAGGGTGTGAAAAACCTTCTCTCAACACTGCTTCTAGATATCTGGCCTGCAAATGTGTAACGAATATATTTCAGCATCGACTTCAAATACAAGTATATTGTCCGGCGAGTTCTATATGTCAATTTTAGTACAAAGGCCATCAAGTTATTTGTTTTCTGACCTGTGTTTCTTGATCTAATGTTTTGCTGATATCCACCTCTGTGAGCCAAATGGGAAGTCCTAGGATAGCCAATTTGTCTAGCACTGCTCTGATTAGAGGAGGGTTTGGTACAGTAAAGTGGCCCTCGAGGCCAATTCCATCCATTGACACTCCACCTCTCCCAAGTTCTCCTAACCTTGAAATGTAAGCATCAACTGTAGCATTCTGATCATCACAAGTCTCTAAAACATTGAATTCGTTCATAAACAACCTTGCAAGTGGATCTGATTTCTGGGCTGTTTCGAAAAATTTCAGACTAGCATTGGGACCAAGTCTTTGCTCATAGAAATTGTAGTGAAGCATTTCATTGTCGACATCCCAATGTATGAACTCATTCTTGTAGTGGTTCATTAAGCTTCGTATTCTAAATTTAACAGCAGTCTGAAGTTCAGGACCTGTGAGATTACGAACCCAAGATGGAGTGAAGTTTGGATTTTCCCAGAAAATGTTATGCCCCCTGGCTATGATCTGGTTCCTTCTAACGAATTCTAGCATTTGATCTGGTATTGTATAGTTGACCACTCCGGGTTTAGGTTCAGTGGAGTACCATTTCAGTTCATCTTCAAACACTGCAGCATTGAACCGCTCAATGAACCAATTCTGCCAAAAACGTTGTAGTTAGACTTAGCCTCTAGAATATTAGTCAGGCCTCTTTAAGCTTTCCATACGGTATTCTTAGGCAAAGAAGCCTCGAGTGATCTTTGAGTCTTGTATCATGTGCTTACCTGATATCGCAAATTTCCTAAAATTGTTTGTGCTATGGCAGATCCAAATGGAAAATCTCTGGAAACTTGCTCTACAACGATTGTAGCTCCTTGCAGCATGTTTCCATCAACATCTGCTATGTGTAATGTGGCCATTCGTTTTCTTTCCTGATTTTTTGAAATAATATAAGCATAGGCTAAAATAGTTCGCATTATCTGAATTTAGCAAAGGCAGCTCATCTTCCATCTAAATTTTATATTTAATTAGAAAACTTGAACCAATAAGGTAGGTAGTTACAGTGTTTATTATTTGTTCTTGGTTTATTCTCCATTGCTGACCAGTGAACGGCTGCAGAGAAGCACTGGATATAGTTATATTGATCTGTCCCCCATCAAAATTCTGCATAACATGAGGAACAAATGTTAAAAGATACATCAGTAATTTTATTAAATTATTTTGTGTCCGTATTAGCATATTTATAAGGTTATACCTGAAAATATATGAGAGCATAATTCGCTGGGGATTCCATAACAAATCCACCTTTCAGAAATGACCAGCAGCCAAGCTTGGCATTAACGGTTCCCATACAATTAAAAGTGATGTTATCTGTTGTCACTGTTGCCTTTATCACAGCTGAATCTGCACCGTTTATCGTAACCCAACCTGTAGATCAGCACCATATATGACAGCATTTGTATTTCAGATTAGTACTGGACTGAAGATATCATTGAATATTTGAAAATATCACTAATAGAATGAAAATATGATCTTGTTTTTGCTGAACTCAACTGGAAAAGGAGTAGATTGTGTTTCCAGTTAGATTGTAAAACACAAAAACGGGGGATTTTACAGCAGTTCCTGACAAACTGATGTTATTGTGGATTTGTTGAGCCTGATTCTTGATGATTCCACCTTTGTAGAGTGGATCCTCTGGTGATAATTTGCACTGATGCAGACGAAAGTAGAATAAACTATTTGGTTCTAGATGGTATAAGGTAGGAAAAAGAGCTAAAATCTTGTCTATTGTAGCGGAACAATGCTATAGAGTATTATGAAGAATGAGGAACGGTGCAGTGAAGTTACCTGAGTGTAAGCAGTGTAATCATATATGGGGCCATCTGCCAAAAGAAGAAGACGAACCCGAGTCAGCAGCAGTTATTTATGCACTAAATCACACACACAAACATGTTGAGAGAAAGGGAGGGAGAGAGAGAACCATAAGCTGCTAATGGAGATCCCATACGGAGGGACAGTCCCAATAACAAAATGAATAGATGGCTTCTCATACTCTGCTTAAACATTAACTGCAGCCAAGTAGAAACCTTATAGTACTTTTAGTTGGCTTTAAATCGTCTAATAATATTCTTTTTCACCAAGTGTTTTACAGTTTAGAACAAATCTGGATGACAAGAGGGAGATGCTGTGTTTATAAATAACGTTGTGCTACTAGAGAGCTTATTGGGACTGAAACAAAAGACATTTCCACGTTTTTACCTGTTATTTTTAATTCAATCTTGACAGGTGTTTGGAATGTATAGGGAATTGTTACTTGAACATTAATTTGCTTAAACCTGTCTATGTTGTTATTTTAGTTTTGGACTTTGTCCTTTCTTCCATGTTCCTGAATTAAGAATTTACATTTAAATAAATAAACGTGTCCATTGTCTAAAAAAATCAGATAAAATGGTTCAAAGCACCTAGAAGTATAGTATACAATTCTTAGAAAAAACTGAACCTGCCATCCCTCAACATGAAAGGTGATTCGCATGCGAGGTGACATGGTGATACTAGATTTTAATAAATCGAAGTCTCTTCTTTAAAGTTTTATCTGGTTCGACGAACCTCGTCTGATGATCAAACAAGCTCATCACCAGAATACATTCCTTCGATGCTGCTGCTATTACGTTATGCCAATTTTATGGTCATGTATACTTTTTTTCTTTGTCTGGCATCAGCCCCAGTTTTGTACTTAGCTCTATGGTTTACAAGCTTACTTTATTCCCGTCAACACAAAGAAGTTGCCGTGCCCAATGCGCTAAGGTTAATCTTACTGAAATTGCACCTAATTTGTTGTGTAATTTGCTGATATATTTTTGAATGAATACATTCGTAGGTAGAATTTCATTCTGTATCCTTATACTGTATAATTCTACCATCGTTGTACACTGCTTGTTCTATTACAATTGAATGTTGAAATTCCTGGTTTCTTCACCTTGACTAACAGAGAAGGTTGAATTCACTATTTTGTTGCCATACTTGGCTGTCACCTTGTATTCACCCAAGAAAGCGGAGAAACTGTATGAACCATACTCGTCGGTTTCACCTTCCAAAACCCCGGTTTGCCACTCTTTTAGGAGCTTGTCGACAGTGTCACCTGCCGGCAGATTGTTGAAGTCGTTATCAGTTAGGCACATTTGGTAACAACTGTTTTGGCGGATGGCTGTCCAGAGTATTATCCCATTGACAGCAGGATGTGAAAAGCCTTCTCTCAACACTTCTTCTAGATAAATTGCCTGTCCGGAAAACAATGATCAAACTTATAAATTTTGAATTTTGGACAGTATATGCATTACCAAGTACAAGAATAATAATATCGACTTGTGCAAGAGGGACGCATAAATAGGACAGTGTGGCCGGTTTTTGAGCCGGCATGCCTAAAATTATCCGAACTAAAATGGTTATGTTTTCTGACCTGACTCTCTTTGCTGAATTGTTTGCTGATATCAACTTCTGTTAACCAAATTGGAAGGCCAAGAGTGGCCAATTTGTCAAGGATAGCCCTCATTAGAGGAGGGTTTGGCACATCGAAATGACCCTGAAGTCCAATTCCATCCATCGTTACACCACCTCGCTTTAGCTCTGTCATTCTTGATATGTACGTGTCCACTGTGGAATTAACATCATTGCAAGTTTCCACCACATTATATTCATTCATGAAAAGTGTGGCTAATGGATCTATTTGATGTGCCTTCTCAAAAAACTGCAGGGTGGCGTTCGGTCCAAGCCGTTGCTCGTAGAAGTCGAAATGAAGCATTTCATTACTAACATCCCAGTGAATGAATTCTTCTTTGTGTCTGCTCATTAGACTTTGAATTCTGGAGGAGACAGCAGATTGCAGTTCAAGATTTGTTAGGTTAAGAATCCATTGTGGTGATGACTTGGGGTTCTCCCAGAAGATATTGTGGCCTCTCGTGATTATCTGATTTGCTCGAACAAATTCCAGCATCTGGTCAGGTATCGTGTAGTTAACGTGCCCCGGATTGGGTTCTGTTGCATCCCACTTGAGCTCATTTTCGAAAACTGCTGCATTGAATCTTTCTGTAAACCATTTCTGAAACAATAAGGGAATTAATTTGATCAGCTTGGGATAGAGTATTTGCAATGCAAACTAGCGGTTTAAAGTTCGGCACTTCGGTGACACCAACAGGAAACCTTGCTAAATGATACCCTGTGCTTATACGAACCGTACAGACCTTGTAGCGTGAATTTCCAATGATAGTCTTAGCTATAGCAGATCCAAATGGGAAATCTTTTATAACTTGCTCTACCGTAATTTCGGCCCCTGGCAATTTGACTCCCTGCCTGTCTGATACATGGATAATAACTGCACGCTTCCTTTCCTGAATCATATAAGAAGCATTATGTCAGAGGTTTCAAGGTAAAAATGTTTCTTTAGAGATTCTCCGCGGATTGATGGTAGATTGGGGAAATTCTAGTAATCTTATTCGTAAATTCTAGATTATGTAAGTTTATGCTCTTTAATATTGAATACTTGTCTACCTTGTAGATTTTAGTCTGCTGATTCAAACTCCATTGCTCCACAGTGAATGGCTGCAGAGAAGCACTTGCAATCTCTATGTCGATATCTCTGCCAGCTGAATCCTGTTAAACCGAAGAGCAGGAAGGTTTAAATGAAAAGGTAAGTCGTCCTGTTTTTTAACTCGTATTTCTAGTTCTTTTCGAATTCTGAAAAATTATTACTCCTACCTGAAGATTTAGCTTAGATAATTTTGATGATGATGTCAATACAAATCCACCCTTGAGAAATGACCAGCAACCTTGCTTGGCAATAACAGTTCCTATGCAACTTAGGGTAGTTTCTTCTGTCATAAGACTAGCCCTTATGAGAGCTGAATCTCCATTGTTTACCTTGATCCATACTGGTTTCATTCAAAAGTAGCCTAGTTATTTAAGTAATTCTGATATGTACATGCACGAGTCTCTTCCCATACGATGAAAAATTTTGACTTTCAGTGAAACGAACAAGGTAAGTATACCTGAAAAACAATATCTGTTGCCTGCGGTGAGGTTTTGCAACAAAAAAGCCCGGCAAGAAACTTGATTTCCATTATCCAGAATACTTCGTAGGAAATTTGGAACTTGATCTTTGAGGATACCACCGTTGTAAAGTGGCTCCTCGGGGTGCAGTTTACACTGGACAGTATTAGGACAGAGAGTTAACCTTTGTTCACTAAATGGTATTATATTTTGATTGAAAGAAGAATAACCTGCTTTTGCACTTACTTGTGTACAAGCATAAGAGTCGTAGAGTAGCCCGTCTGCAATAAAAACATTGTAAATGAAAAGAAAATTCTAAAATGAAGCCACATAGAGAGAGGGGGAGAGAGTATACCATAGCACAAAACCAGGCAACTGCTAAAGAAGAGGATCAAAAACAGAGAACAAAAGAATGTAAGGTACTGCATGCTCTTTGATTATCTGCTTAAAATTCTGAGTTGCAGAAACACCCGATCTGGCTTAAATTCAGCCACACACCACAATACCTAGGCAGGGCTCAGAGAGGGTGGCATCACAAGAGAAACAGTAGTGTGTTGCTGAGAAAAACCGTGTCAATTCACATACTGATATGGGCCACTTCCATAGTTTATATACAAGATATTTCAGCAATTTTTTCTGTATAATCAGAAATTTACTGGCTGATAATTAATTTAACTGCAGTTGACAAAATCTGCACCTTAAGTAATTTTCACATGTGACACATACTGACAACTTGAGTTAACATTAACAGAATCCCCAAAATTACATGCTTACAGTAATGGTCTTGGATTTGAAGGATGTTTAGCTGAGCTTAACAGTAAGTAAAGAAAAAGTAAGATTTTATACTGAAATTTTAAGAAACCTCAAACATTGCTGGCAAAAATAGTTAACAAGTAACTTTGAAGCATAGCCAAACATGATCTTTGTGTGAAGTAATGCGAAAAATGTCAGAATCTAGGAATAATAAGGTGATAATGTTACATTTATATTGATAATTTCTTATAAAATATTTAACGATATACATTAACAATATTTGGTCACCTTTCCAGTTAAAATCGTAATTATTTTAACTGAAAAAGCTATTCCCAAAACTTAAAGATCAACTCATTCCCGTGACTGCCTGAACATAGTCAAGAATGTACCTTTGATGGCATGTGAATTGGCATCTGCACAATATAAGATAAAGGCAATTCATTCGGTTCCGAGGTGAAGTATTTTCAAAGTTAAACCAAATTTTTTTTTCTTTTTCGATGATACGTGGATCAATAATAATATGATTGAGGGACATTTTTAACAAGTATAATGGCACCGTGGACATCTTGTGGTCTAATACTGTGTATCAAACATAGCAGTAAGGTGCGGTAATAAGAGTGGCATCCAAGTAAAGTGATTTTTGATATGTTGGGAGGCTGCATAGACCAGAAGGGATAGAAATCATGAATGTATATGCCTTCATTTCTAAAGGCTGTGTTGCAGATTTTGTAGTAGAGACTGGTGGTAGTGCTAGTTAGGCGTGGAGGAGAAGCATTTATGAATAATTTTGCACGCCTAGTGCACACAGTGGATGGACCATCTGTGAATCCAAAATTGGTGAATGGCTAAAAAAGTTAAGAAGAATTGAGAGTGCTATCTTCATTACATGAACCACTAGACGAGGCTAAATCTTGAACAATATCGTAAAATTGTAGTATTCTTTTCCACTCTAATTGTGAAGTGGAAAAGAATACAAGTGATCCCTCTCTCTAATAATTTTAACTTTTTAGCTTGTGTATTCAATTTGGATCCAAACAGTATAGAGTTTGAAGTTATTTAGTAAGAAGCAATAGAGATTGAATTGTCGTACTCGAAGTTTGTTTCAATTTAAACTGTCAAACTTGATTCATGTTGAAACTACTCAATTAGGGTGGATTTCGATATAAGTTCACATATTTGATCTCCTTATAATATTCAACTCAATACAGTCAACAATTTTGACTTTGACCCCATCCTTTAGAAAATTCAACAACAAAAAATTCTACTCAAGTCAACTTGTCTAGTCCTTTTCTTCAGAGCGCGATCAGTAAAGGGCTCACAATGAGGTAGAGTACAAAATCTACCAAAAAGGCAACCTTACTCAAGGAAATTGAAAGTGAGAAGAAAGTATAAAGTGTAAGCCCAAGATAAGCTAATCAAGAGGGGGTGAATTGGTTTTAAAACTTTTTCAAAGAATTAATCTAAATTCAAGCAAATAAAGACTAAGTAGATTAATTCAAATAATAAGCACGAATATCAAAGCGACAAGTAAAAGGGAGTTAGAGAGTGTAAATGATATGTTATGGAGGTTCGATCCAACCCAACGATCTACGTTCCCCGTTACGAAGCTCTCCTTCACGAGCAAGACCTTTTTTACTATGTAGATTGACTTGTGGTGCAATTCAGTCATTTACAACGCTTTCGGTGACTTACAAAAAAGGAGTATCAATCATTTTACAATGTTGAACTTTTTCGGGACCTCAACACGACCCACAATTCAAAATGAATTTACAAATGAAATCTTCTCTTCTTTTTAAATGATGGAATCAAGATTGATAATAAGAAGAGAATAGGCAAACACTTCAATAGATGGTAATGAGTTTAGCTCAAAGTGTTGAGATGAAAAACTTCTTGAATAAATTAAAGATTTTGACAAAGTTAAATAACTCAAAAGTTTTTCAAGAGTTTGATACTTTTTGATCTTCTTAAGAATGGATAATAAGATGGTTGTGAACAATAAATGCATCACTTAATGCTCAAAAGTGTAAATACAAGTGAGGGAATAGTGAGGTATTTATAACACTCAAACGGTCAAAAACTCTGCTGTACCGGATGCACTTTACCGAATGTCCGGTAAAATACCGGATGGTTAACTAGCTGTTATTTTTTGTCAGAAGATTGGACCGTTGGAAAAATGACCGTTGGAGCACTTTTGATTATACCCGACGTCCAGTATGTGTACCAGACGTCCGGTACAGTCATAGGTGCTCGAAACGTCCTCGTTTTTAAATTTTGTCGAATGTAAATGCTGGAGGGAAGTTTAAGATGTTTTTCAAAGTTTTTGTCATATTAAAAATATGTGTTACAATTTTTTACTTTTGAAAAACATAATTTTCAAGTAAATCAAAA